TACTACTAACTACTACTACTAACTACTACTACTAACTACTACTACTACTACTACTACTAACTACTACTACTACTTACTACTACTACTACTTACTACTACTACTTACTACTACTGCTACTACTACTACTACTACTCACTACTCACCACTAACTACTAACTACTAACTACTAACTACTAATACCTAATACCTACTACTACTACTACTAATACTACTACTACCGTCATTAACCCAAACCAAACACCTCAGAATTATGTTGCTGCACGAGGTGGAGCTAAAAAGCGGCGAGACCATATTTTCCCAAGCGTAGAGGGACACGAGGCGAGGTGCTTTTCTCCCCGGGGATGCGAAGTCCAAAACGACACGAGGGACACGAGGGACACCATGCACAGCCCACGATGGGACACGAGGGCGATGTGGTTTTCGTTTTCGATTTTTTTGTTCGATTCATTTTCCCCCCAAACATGGAGCCGATGGAAACTGAGACGCAGTGTCCTTCTACCCTCGGAATGTCCTGCCTCCACCGAAACGCTGGGGTCCGGAACTGGTGGGTCACACCCCAAGCCCATTGCATCGGGTTCCGGAGGTTCATTTTTTGGGACTTACCCGCATCCAAATGGCTCTGCACCTCCGAACCAATCCTTGTCGTCGCCCGCACATCCTTGGGTTCCAAGCCTTTGGTCGAATGGCAAGTCCACTTGGAACAAGAAGCTACGAACGGGGCTCCTGGCATCGCGACTCGAGTTCGGAGCGATCGGACGCTACGAGGGCCGGGGCGACCCTGGCCTTACTACGAACGGAGCAAGGTTCGCTATACAAGATCAGGTCGCCGCAGTTGACCTGACTTCACCCCAACAGAACATCGCTCTACGTCGATCGCGTCATGGCAGTCCGATGGCCGTCCGGAATCGGCCAAGGACGAGGCGGTCGGATGCTGGACGCTGGTGACTTGGCTGGCAGAGTCGACCAATTTTGAACACATGAAAATGTAGAATGCTGATGAGTAGAACCCCTTCATTTGGATTGTAAAGCCTGTTCAGATCATTATTAGGTTCCCAGTTGATCCTTCCCATACGAGGGTCTCAACCTTTTATTTGGCCACCGCTTGGTTGGCTTGCATGGGCTGTCATGACACTCCGATCACCACCGTACATATTTCGGTCGGACACATGCTGATCATTATACTCATTGGTCACATGGCCTTCGTTCGTGAGAGAGAGAACTTCAAAGATTTCGCTCGCAGGTTTGGTGCTCTACTCTGGGCTGGTGGTCCTCTTCATTTGGCGATTCCTTTCAGGCAGTCGCTCACGGTGGCGCGCGCCCTGCGGGCGGGCGGAAACCGCGCGCGGAAACCGCTGCGCGAGCCCGCTTCGGGAGCCCGCTTCGCTTCAGGCAGTCGTGTTTGGTGGGTGAACCCTGCTAGGGACTGCAACTCTGTGCTGAGAAATGCTTTAAAGACTCAGCTCCATAAGACAAGAGATGAGGATGTGAGATGGCCAAAGCGAGCCACAGCAGTAGGCGAATTCGATTCATGAAATGGACCCGATCACCAACTATTTCAAGACCATTTCAGGATCATCCTGGACATGGGTGTCCTGGCAGGCGTTCGACTACCCTACCCTATACAGGTCTCCTACTCCGCACCCATGGCGAGTGCCTCGTGCCTCGTGCGTCGCTACTAGCGTCGGGTATCTTCTCGTTCGAAATCGAACCGGTTCGAAAGTTCCATGGCCGCCGCAGGATGGAGACTCTGTGGAGCTTGGATGGAATATGCCAACTACTGCATGTGCCTTGGAGCGAGCCGGATCCACCCGTATCCACGGAGTGGTGACCATATCCGCTAGACAAACAGTGATAAAGGGGGGGGTTCAAGATGGTTCATACAATGCTTCATGAGCCTCCCTAAATGGGGAGTTAGCCCTGAGTTGACATGGTAAATATACGGCCTAAATTATTCGATTCTATCTCCAAACAGGAGAAGTGGATCGCATTGCAGGATCCTTGGCTTTTCCACCCTTTTTTTGGCTTGGCTTTTCCACCGTCAGACACGGTTTCTGAACGGACTGCCTCCTGGAGGTCGGACAGCGCATTGGCTGGCCCGTTTTCGGAAGCGCACGACCTGAAAGCACGACCTGAAAGTCGGGCGAAAGTGCGACTCTTGAGGGACTCTGCCAAGCTGATCTAAGCTGTCTCCTATAGAAGTCTAGTTTGATGATGCTTTTCTTCCGTAGGCGCCCATTTCAGCGGGCTCGGATGGAAGGGGGTCTGTTTCAGCGGTGCCCAGTACGATCAGCGTCGACATGTGCATGGCTGTGGATCAAAACCCGGACCACAAAAACAGCCTAGGTCAATGCAACAAAAGCAGCTAGACTTGAAAGCTGCAGCCCTCATCGGCCGGAGGCTTCTCTATATGCTCCTGCTAGTCTTGAACGTCTATGGAATTTATACCTTCATTGAGTTGGCGATGCAGCCCGAAGGCGGGCAGCGGTGGGTCGATCAGCCAAACGCTCGCTCTCTCACGCGGCTGGGGGCTCGAGCGCACCGCGCGGTTCGCTCGCCTCGGCGCGGTGCGCGGTTCGCTCTCTCCGATGGCGGTTCGAGCGCGGTTCGCTCGCCAGGTCAGAAGGTTTTTCAGTCGCTCCCGCGCTGGATGAAGCCACTCATGCGGGGGCGGCCCAGGCGCTGCGCGGCGCGGGGCGAACGAAGCGGTTCGCGGCGCGGCGGGCGAACCGGCCGAGGCTGGGGACGCCCTTCGCGGCAGTGGTCACATACCTGTTGGCCTTCATCCAGTGGCTCGGAACGGTGCGAAGTAGCGTGGGATGTTGAGCAGACTTGGTATGGGGGGGGGTGGAGACAGACTCAGTGCTGAGTGTTCTGCATCAAACGCATGTAAAAAAGGCCTTTGATTTGGGCGGATGGAACCATATGATCTTCTATTTTAAAGCTTTGCTGTCTCCTGTCTCCTTCAATATCTGCAATAAGAATTGGAGGTATAGACTATAGATGCATTCAAGTGGTTCACTTGGCCGGGTTTGAAAGGCTTGCCGCACATTCCAAAGTGACCTGCGTGAACCTTTTGTTCGGTCAAATCAGGAGTAAACACCGTGCATAGGGCGACCCCCTGCCGTGAGTCCCTCGCCAGCCATGCCAAAGAAATGCTCCTGCCATGGGCTGCTATGCTGCGCTTGCCATGCGCTGCCTGCCATTCCGTTCCCCTTTTTGCTTCTCTTAGGACCGGGCAACATGTGAACGAGATTCGCAAGGGCCAGGGCACGCTGAAACACGCCCCTCGGGGGGGGACTTCGTGTTCGGTCGGAGGTTCGGGAGCGGAGCTAAGGGGGGCCCTGGATCGTTTTGGGAAGGTGGGCTGATCCTTTTTGCGGGAGCTATGTGGGCACTATGGGATCCGGGATTACTTTGGTACAAAACTCTTTTGGGACTCGATTCTGGTGAATAGAACATGTGATTAAATAGTCACGAAAGCTAGCCTTAGCTAGCTGGAGTTGCTCTTGCTTTAGCAAGTTAAGTGACGGGGTGGACGCACCTCAGAAACCTCAAAT